TGGCATAATACCTGGGTGGTTTACCTCTTGACCTGAGGCCCCTACCACACTATGTTATATCCCAGGATCTCATCCCAGATTATTTGCTTTAAACTGGATTAAATGAGTCCCCATTGCCAGATAACACAGAATAAACAGATAAGCTGGGACCAGATTCTGGGATATAGTATGGGAAGGGACCAGAGTCAGGTAGAGGCAAATGTCTCTTGTAAAATGGAATATATTAATAGATGTATAGGAAAAGAGTGGAATAAAATATAGTTTATGGTTAGATGGATAGAGGAGAGAAACAAGGGTCTAGAGGATGCCGCTTCATCTCTTTCTGTCTTGCTGCTCTTGGAAAACTATAAATTCCTAACTATACATCCCTTTTTATTAGTGGTGGAGGTAGCAGTGTTCGATAACAGAGAAGCCATGGTTGTGCAAGATCTGAGCAGAGTCTCAGAGTACATCCACACTGCAGGATGAATGCAGTTTGTCACCACTTTGCATTGCAATACTGTTAAGTTGTAGTTTTACAAGTTTTTCAGCCTTCTCTGCCCAAGAGTGCCAAACTACAATCCCCATAGCATTTAGCGTAGTGGGTTTAAACGACATTCATTCCACAGTGTGGATGTGCCCTACAAATATTCCTAAGTCAAGAGGCAATGCAAAGGCAAACAAACACACAAACAAACAAACATGTACACAAGTGGGCGTCATCAACCTAGCCATCATTTCAACCCCAACACGGCTTAGTAAGAAATACAAACAGTTTATTTAGTTCTTGAATTAAACATGAAGTGAGTCAGCTGCCGAAAGATGACAGAAACCTCTTTGCTGTTTACTTTGTGAACAACTAACTCCAAGCCCAAACTGGGGATGATTCACATGATGAAACCATTTACCTAGAGAGAGGCAGACAACAGTCCCCATCATCCCCAAGCAGCCAAGGTAATGAAACTAGAGTCAAACTGCATTCAACTGCAGTAGAGAAGCTTTTTGTTTCTTTCAATACGTCATTCCGCACTGAATGTATGCCATACCTTTGCTCTGTTGTGCTGCAATCTGTGCTCAGTTTGAATATTCCCTCACATTTTGGATTCCATTCTCAAATGCAGGCCACAGCATCCAAATATAGTCGGAAAGCATGTAAATATTGCAATATTAGCCAGAGTCACAACTGGACTAAGGTCCAAAGCTTGCCATCTAGCGGAAGGAACACAGTAAAGCAGTGGCTCTCAACCTGTGGGTCTCCAGATGTTTTGGCCTTCAACTCCCAGAAATCCTAACAGCTTGTAAACTGGCTGGGATTTCTGGGAGTTATTATTTATTTATTTATTTATTTATTACTTGCACTTGTTAACCGCCACTCTCAGCCCGGAGGCGACTCGTGGCGGTGTACAAAACATAGAAAAGACAACAATTTACAGTGGAACAAGACCATCACACAACATATAAAAATCCGCTTCGTCTAGATTAGGGTCATAGTCAATCTCATCGTCATAGTCCATTCCGGTGATCATTCCAAGGAAAACATATAGCACTAGCTGAAGGCCTTTTCGAAGAGCCAGGTCTTCAGGCCCTTACGGAAGGCCATGAGGGAAGGTGCCTGTCTGATTTCAGCAGGGAGGGAGTTCCATAGCCGGGGGGCCACCACCGAGAAGGCTCGCTCTCTCGTCCCCGCCAGGCGTGCCTGTGAGGCAGGCGGGACCGAGAGAAGGGCCTCCCCAGATGATCTTAAGGTCCTCGTGGGCTCGTAGGCCGAGATGCGGTTTTCAAGGTATTTGTAGGCCAAAACACCTGGGGACGCACAGGTTGAGAACCACTGCAATAAAGTTTGCAGTGAAATATATATAAATGTACATACACGCATATATTATACACACACATACACAAATGAATAATTACAGTATAATAATATAATATATAATATGGATACATATATAATACATACAATATTATTATATTACATATTATATTATTATATTATATATAATAATACAATATATAATCAAAATACAGGTTATATATATTATATTATACATATATTATATATACACATATATACATTCACAATACTATCCATATGTACATATAATATATATAATAATACAATAAATAATATAAATACAATTATATATTACATATACACACATGCATATATATATACATATACATTTGTAATATTTATAGGTATATATATATTACATATGTATATATATAGATACTTTAGAACAGCTGGTTAATCACTAGAAACTATAGATCTTTACCAACCAAAAGGTTGGGAGTTCAAGCCCTGGTCAGGTGAGCACCCCAACTTCTGCCCAGCTTACTGTCCATCTAAGCAGTTCAAAAACAGCTGTAGCTGTGAATAGAGAAATTAGCCACCGCTCAAGTGGGAAAGTATTTTACGATAACTTAAAAAAGTCTGCAAAGAACAGGAAGAAAGTCTATGATCAAAAAGGCTCGTTTTCATAGAGGATGGAGCAACAGCACCCCCCTGTGGCTGGAATCAAGAATAACTTCCAGGATGATAAAGCTGAAAATACTGGAAGGTATTGTCGAAGGCTTTCATGGCTGGAATCACTAGGTTCTTGTGGGTTTTTTCGGGCTATAGAGCCATGTTCTAGAGGCATTTCTCCTGACGTTTCGCCTGCATCTATGGCAAGCATCCTCAGAGGTTGTGAGGTCTGTTGGAAGTGGGAAAAATGGGTTTATATATCTGTGGAATGGCTGGGGTGGGGCAAGGAGCTCTTCCCTGCTGCAGTTAGGTGTGAATGTTTAGCTGATCACCTTCATTAGCATTTGAAGGCCTGCCTGAGCCTGGGAAAATCTGTTGCTGGGAGGTGTTAATCTGTGCCTGGTTTTTTCCTCTCTGTTGTTTAACTCTAAAATTTAACAGCTAAACAACAGAGAGGAAAAAACCAGGCACAGATTAACACCTCCCAGCAACAGATTTTCCCAGGCTCAGGCAGGCCTTCAAATGCTAATGAAGGTGATCAGCTAAACATTCACACCTAACTGCAGCAGGGAAGAGCTCCTTGCCCCACCCCAGCCATTCCACAGATATATAAACCCATTTTTCCTACTTCCAACAGACCTCACAACCTCTGAGGATGCTTGCCATAGATGCAGGCGAAACGTCAGGAGAAATGCCTCTAGAACATGGCTCTATAGCCCGAAAAAACCCACAAGAACCTAATATGGCAACGGCAGTGTCCTTTGGTTTTGGAGTTGGAATTTTCAACACCAGAACTTTAGTTTTGTAAGTACATCAGAACCATTTAGAACAGTGTTTCTCAACCTGGGGGTCGGGACCTCTGAGGGGGTCGTGAGGGGGTGTCAGAGGGGTCACCAAAGACCATCAGAAAACACAGTATTTTCTGTATTGTCGAAGGCTTTCATGGCTGGAATCACTAGGTTCTTGTGGGTTTTTTCGGGCTATAGGGCCATGTTCTAGAGGCATTTTTCCTGACGTTTCACCTGCATCTATGGCAAGCATCCTCAGAGGTAGTGAGGTCTGTTGGAAATAGGACAATGGGTTTATATCTGTGGAATGGCTGGGGTGGGGCAAAGAGCTCTTCCCTGCTGGAGCTAGGTGTGAATGTTTCAACTGACCACCTTCATTAGCATTTGAAGGCCTGGCTGAGCCTGGGAAAATCTTTTGTTGAGAGGTGTTAAGATGTGCCTGGTTGTTTCCTCTCTGCTGTTTTGCTGTTGTAATTTTAGAGTTTTTTAATACTGGTAGCCAGATTTTGTTCATTTTCATGGTCTCTTCCTTTCTGTTGAAATTGTCCACATGCTTGTGGATTTCAATGGCTTCTCTGTGTAGTCTGACATGGTGGTTTTGGTGTGGTCCAGGATGGTTCATCAGGTGCTCTGCTATGGCTGACTTCTCTGGTTGAAGTAGTCTGCAGTGCCTTTCATGTTCCTTGATGCGTGTCTGGGCAAAGCTGCGTTTGGTGGTCCCTATGTAGACTTGTCCACAGCTGCATGGTATACGGTAGACTCCTGCAGAGGTGAGAGGATCCCTCTTGTCCTTTGCTGAACGTAGCATTTGTTGGATTTTCTTGGTGGGTTTGTAGATTGTTTGTATGTTGTGTTTCCTCATCAGCTTCCCTATGCGGTCAGTGGTTCCCTTGATGTATGGCAGGAACACTTTTCCTCTGGGTGGATCTTCATCTTTACTCTCGTGGCTTGTTCTTGGTCTTGCAGCTCTTCTGATGTCTGAGGTGGAGTATCAGCTGGCCTGGAGAGCCCAGTTGAGGTGGTTCAGTTCATCTTGGAGGAGGGGGGTTCACAGATTGTTTTTGCATGGTCTGTGAAGGCAAGTATTTTCTGTTGGTCATGGGGGTTCTGTGTGGGAAGTTTGGCCCAATTCTATCATCACTGGAGTTCAGAATGCTCTTTGATTGTCGGTGAACTATAAATCCCAGGAATTACAACTCCCAAATGTCAAGGTCTATTTTCCCCAAACTTCACCAGTGTTCACATTTGGGCATATTGGGTATTAGTGCCAAATGTGGTCCAGTGAATGAAAATATATCCTGCTTATGAGATATTTACATTACAGTTCATAACTGGAGCAAAATGACAGTTCTGAAGTAGCAACAAAAATAATGTTATGGTTGGGGGTCACCATAACAGGAGGAACTGTATTAAGAGGTCACAGCATTACAAAGATTGAGAAACACTGGTGTAGAACCATGCATTGAACAGGCCTACGTAATACACACACACACATATCAAATGTAGAAGTACCTATATACCCTCCTACATAACAATGTATACATAATCAAGGCTTAGTTTCAAATATTGTTAGTGTTGTGAGCGATCAATGTCCCAAGAAGAAGAACAGCACTCTCTTGGGTCTTCAGAGGAGGAGGGGCAAGGTTGGGCCTGCCCTTCAGGCGTTTTGGACTTCAACTCCCAGCATTCCTAACAGCCCGCCGGAAGTGGTCATGGCGGAGGCGGGGCGACGAGCGGAAGTGCGGGTTGTCGAGCGGAAGTGCCGCTCTCTTTGTGCGGGCGAAGGCAGGAAGGAGGGAGGGAGGAAGGGGCGGTTGCTAGGCTGCGCGCGGGGCCGAGTGGGCCTGCCTCAGCCGGGGCGGCCTGCCCTGCCATGGCCTCTACGCCGCTCCCGCCAGCGGCTTCTCCTTCGGCCGCGAAGGCGCCTCCGTCCCCGGCTGCCGGGCCCTTGTGCGTGCTGTGCTGCGGGGAGCTGGAGGTGGTGGCGCTGGGCCGGTGCGAGCACCCCGTCTGCTTCCGCTGCTCCGTCCGGATGAGGGCCCTCTGCGGCGGGAGGTACTGCGCCGTCTGCCGCGAGGAGCTCGACCAGGTACTATTCCCCTGGGCCACGGCCAACTTCGGCCCTCCCTACCTACAGGTGTTTTGGACTTCCACTCCCACAATTCCTAACAGCCGGTAGGCTGTTAGGAATTGTGGGAGTGGAAGTCCAAAACACCGGGAGGGAGGGAGGGAGGGCCGAAGTTTGCCCTGGCCTATATTAGCCTTTGAGGTCGTTCAATAAGGGAAACACTGGGTTGATTATCTATTATTGTTACTATTATTATCTATTATTATCATCATCATTGGAGAGCCACACTTAGTTACTTCTGTATTTTTATACCTGCTGAATGAGTTATTTACGAGGCCGGATTGATAATACGTTTTAGCCCATGTTGTTTTATTTTATTCACATTCTATTTGTGTATTTTAAATCTGTCTATTTTAATTGGAGTGTTTTGTTTGTTTTATCTTCTTACTGCACTTGGCATTGAATGTTTGCCCATTTGTTTGTTTTTTTTGGAAGCCGCCCCATGTGGAGAGAGAGGGTGGGTTAGAAATAAAGATCATTATTATTATTATCATAATTTAACTGTTTTAATTTGCCTTAGGTTTTGTATTGTTATATTGTGTGTTGAGGCCTTGGCCTTTGTAAGCCGCATCGAGTCCTTCGGGAGATGCTAGCGGGGTACAAATAAAGTTTAATAATAATAATAAAAATAATAATCATCATCATCGATGGTTACTCTATTATTATTATTATTATTATTATTATTATTATGATCATCATTATCACCATGGCAGAAAGGAGCCCCCGGTGGCGCAGTGGGTTAAACCCCTGTGCCGGCAGGACTGAAGACCGACAGGTCGCAGGTTCGAATCCGGGGAGAGGCGGATGAGCTCCCTCTATCAGCTCCAGCAAATCATCCAGGCGTCCCCTGGGCAACATCCTTGCAGACGGCCAATTCTCTCACAACAGGAGCAACTCCTGACACGACAAAAAATAATAAAAAAAACAATGGCAGAAGTGCCATTAGGGCACCCTAGGGGTGAGAAAAGCGATATAGAAATACTGTAAATAAGTTAATAATAAATAAATCAATCAATTATTACTCTATTATTATAATTTTATTATTGTTATCATAATTATTACTCTTATCATCATTATCAATTACTCTATCATCGTTATAGTTTTATTATTGTTATTAATAAAATCAATGATTATTATTATTATTATTATAATCAATTATTACTCTATTGTTATCATTTATTATTACTCCATTATCATTACCATCAGTTATTACTCTGTTATTATTGTTATAATTAATTAATACTCTATTAGTGTTTGATGGGGTTCCTTATTCAGCAGCTAATAGTGAAAGTGATCCTGGCCTGCTTACACTACCTTGTATTATTATTCTTACATTCAGTGATTAATAGTTGAAGCAGCCCTGGCCTGCTTCAACACTGTCTATCTATTTGTCTATCTAAAAACACAGTATGTCACAGCAAATGAGATCTATTTGCTGGAGTTCGTATCAAAAAATCACAAGTTGAACACTTCCCAAGCATCTAGGACTGTGTGATGTATTTTCGAATGATGCACGCAGATCCAAGTAAGGTGGCCTTTTGCAGTTGACAGATCGTGATTTTGTTGATGTTTGTTTCCAAATGCCAGCTGAGATCTTTTGGCATGGCACCCAGTGCACCATTATTATTATTATTATTATTATTACTACTACTACTACTACTACTACTACTACTTTTATAATTAGTATTATTATTACATTCAGTGACTAATAATTGAAGCAGCCCTGGCATGCTTACACTATCTATCTATTATTGTTATTATTGTTGTTGTTATTTTATTCTTTTTACATTTAGTGATTAATAGTTGAAGCACCCCTGGCCTGCTTACAAATCTATCTATGCATTGTTGTTGTTGTTGATTCAGTGATTAATTATGAATCAGTAATAATACATAATTATTATTAGCCTTTGAGGGGGAGTTCCCCATTCAGTGATTAATACTTGAAGCAGGTGTGGCCTTCTCACACTGTCTCTATCTCCTGCTCCTCCTCCTCCTCCTCCTCCTCCTCCTCTTCTTCTTAGTCATTGAGGGGGTTCCCTCATCTATTATTAATGGTAGGAGTAGGCCTGACCCTAAGCCTTTCAGATAAGGGGTTCCTTCCAATATTACTACTGTTATTATAATTCATTTTGGGGGCTGTTTCTCAATCGGTTGTCAGTGACCAAAGGGGTCCTGACCCCAAACATTTCAGAGAAAGTCTGCTTCCACTGTTAATAACTGAATGTAGACACCCCCCCCCCCCAGACAATGATCATGGGATTTCACATTTCCACCCAATTTTGTGTATGCTGTGAGGGTGGGAAAAAGGCAGGGATCTGCTGTTGTTATTGTTGTTGTTATTGTTATTATTATTATTATTATTATTATTACTGGAGGGGATTATTATTTAATTATTAGTGGTAGAAGCAGTCCAGGCCTCAAGCTTGAGATAAGGACTGCTTCCACTATTAATAACTGAATGGGGAAGCCATCCCAAACGACGACTATGCTGATGATGATAATGTTTTGGATATCTCATCCCCTCCCCTCACTTTGGAGCTACAGATCAAGCGCCTTATCTGGACTTCCAAACTATTCTAAAAATGTCCTTATATTTTTGCTTTCCAATGGTTCAGTCTATGCAAACACATTATTGATAACAATGTGATAAAATCGTCTTCCAACAATGTGTCAGGTGTGGTTTCGACTTGGGTTGCTTCTCAAAGGTATCTCATATTGCACATTTCTTTAAATATTCAAAAATTCGAAAGAGGGAATGGTTCCGGTCCAAAGAGTTTCAGATACAGGGTGCTCAATCTGTATTTGTATTCCATCATGAGATACTTCGGAGAATCCAGGCATGAAATTCATTTATGTTTCATAGATCCCTGATACACACAAGCTAGAGGTCATTTTGTACAATATTTTAAAAATATTTTTGCACATGGAACAAAGTTTGTGTCCATAGAATCTTTAGAACCTCCATACCTGATTCGTCTTCAATGTATTCCAAAATTGACCTCATAGTATTTAATTCATATATGATGCTATCTAATGTCCCATCAATTTTGATGTTTGTGCAACAGGTCTCTGATTTCATGTTGTTTCTAATGTGCTCGTTTTATTTTTGGAAGACCTGTTTCTTTTCCTTGAGGTCACATCACCAAATGGTCTTGAATTGAAAGGCTCGTAAAGCCAGACAATTCAGATATTTCCTGTACAGAAAGGATGGAAATACAGGTTCACCCTGATGGATTATGCACTTACTTCCAACTCAGGCCAATTCTGTGTTTGCAAGTGAAGCCTGTTTTGTTTCTCATTCTTTGGAAAGTAATATCATCACAATTTGGGGAATTTACTCTGTCCAGGTCAGAACAGGCTCTGTCTTATGACTTTTATCAGCGATTAAAGTTTTCCAACTGGTATCATTCCACTGTGTGGATGGTCACTCTGAGACCTCCTTTTGCAAGGAAGCCTTGTGAGCTTGCCCTTGTCAGGCCCTGGGCTGTTGCCTGCATTTTGTTTGCATTGTGCTCCAGCCAACGCCAAGTTCAAGAGTCAGGCACAGTGATCGTGTTATTTGATCATTTGGGTTATTTTTGGTGGAAGTCGTTCTTTAGAACCAGGAATAGAGGAAAGGCGTGAGGTGGCATTAGGGCTGTGTTCGGAGAGCCAATAAACCTGCTCTCTGTTGGGTGTTTACCAACATTTTATAAAACTCTTGAGGATCCAGATATTGAAAGGATATCTCCTTCCAAGCCCCTGCCCTTAGTCCAGCTTCTCTGGGGAACGATCTTTGGGGATGATCTTTTAGAAACCAGCAGCCTCCTTTCCCTCCAGGATTATAAGTAGCTGTTCTGTATTTTCCTGTCGCAACTCATAACCATCAATTATAGACATGGTTTGATAGTTTTGGCAAGTGTAACGCTTGGCATCATGTTGTGCCATGGGGCTACCAGTTACGGCTTTGCAAGTTGAATTGGAAATTCTAGATCTTGAGGCATAACCCAGCAAGGTTCCTTTTTAAGACATGCAGCCTGTCCTTGTGTATCTCACCCATTATTGTGAATTTTGACAGACCGTGCTTTTCAATGGGGCTCGTTGTTTCTTATGTCATTGCTTCGTTGTTCTTCCAGTGTGTTCTCAAATCTATGGCAAACCTTTCACAGGGTTTTATTGGCCAGATTTGTTCAGAAAGTGGTTGCCTTGGCCTTCCTCTGAAGCTAAGAGAGTGATTTTCAGAGTCTGTCACCTGCTTCTTTAAACTGGATATGTCAAGGAGAAAGCTTTGAAATTCGCTTCCTGTCCATCCGGCTCACCTCGAGGCTGCTCTTCCCCTGTTTTGCCCTGGAGAGCTCCCCAAACCCACATTCTTCTAGTATGACTCCCTCCCTTGCCTTTCCTTCCAGTCCGATTAGATGACGCCTCCCATTTATTCTTGGCACAGTGTGTCACTAGCCAGAGGCATTTCCTTTTTCATAACTCTCAAATTGTAGGGAAAGAGAGAAGGCCATTAGGGCATCAGCAGGGAGGATGCAACTCAGAGATCTCTGGGAAACCTCCTTTCCAACTCAGCTGGAAATGCTAGATTATTGTAACCTCTGTTCCTTCTACATGAGCTCACCCTGACTTCAAAACAATGGAAACCATCTGTTCCTCCAATCCGGGGGTGTTTTTAGAAGGCAGGATGAGTCAGGTCATGCTGGTGACTTGAGAAAACTGAAACTTTAAGCAGACCATGTGGTTTTTAGAAATGACACCCTTTGTGTCCTGCATTGAGTCTTTTCTGTATCTGTTCGGACATTTTGATCCAGCAGTGATTATTCAGTTTGAACACAAAGCCTAGTGTCTCAAACGTTAGGTTGCTTAAATAGCTCACCTGGGTAGAACTAGTAGATTCAGTTGTCTTTCCACATTTGGAAGTAAAGCATTCATAGATTTGATAATTTGCAGATGACTATGCTTGCCGCGACCCTATATGTGACCAAAAAAGTATATTCTCCCTTGGCATTTCAAGGTCTCCAGTGTGATTCTGCAGTCAATGTTTTCCGGAAGTTGGCCATAGAACTGCACTGGAGGACTTAGAAATACTGAGAGAGAGAAATATAGCAGATTTATATTTGTGGTTTTTCCACTTTCTCACAGGGATCCTGTGTTCTCTGACTCCAGCAAAAATTGAGATTTCTTTTCCTCAATTTTTTTCCCACCGTGGGCAGCAGTGACATATCCCACTTTTCTTTCCTCTCTGGAAATCATATGGCAAAAATGAAGCTGAAAAAGTCTCTGTTTATCTGGGATCTGAATCTGACCTACCTGCAGCTACCATCAGCACTCCCTTAGTCTGTGTTCTTTCCCTGATGATTTCCATTGGACCCATGCTGATCCATTTGTATCATGCTCTAACTCTCCTCCCCCTGTCCTGTTTAGGTGGTCTTTGGGAGGAAGCTGACATCATTCTCCACAATCAACCTCAGCCAGTTGCAGCACGACAAGAAATATGACATCTATTTTACTGATGGAAAAGTTTATGCTCTCTATAGGTAACTGCTCTTTATCATGCTTCCTTTAGTGAATGAATGGTTTATTGTGCCAACCATAGGCCATGACATCAAATAATGTAGAACTTTTAAAAGTACAGTATACAATTTCCAATAGAAACATTAAAACTTATTCTATAAACTAGCTCTTTAAAATTACAATAGCAGTGAAATCCCCATAGGCATGATAACAATAACTATATCTGATTTGTATTATCCCAAACTGTTTCCACAGCGGAGGCTAGAAATGAAAACGGAAACAGCTTCTTTTAGTGAGAATAGGAATGCCAAATAAGCAGCTGCGTAAATGCTTTTGCTTTCTCAGTACCAGGAAGTTAAGGATGAAAGATGTCCCTATGGGAAAATATGTGCCTGATGAAAGGAAAAGAACTAAGCAAGACTTCCATGTTCAAGAGAAAAGTGTTCAGTGTCCATTTAGCAAACAGGCAGAAGCAGAATAAATATTGCAAAATGAGCAGCATTTATGTTCAAGCATGTGTTCATGAGATGTAGTTATATGCAATGCATGTTGGCTTAATAAATAAACTTGCATCATGTTTTTCTAAGCCTATCCTCCATTAATTAGCATGCATTTGCAAATCAAAATAAAATCTGGCCCACACTCGAGGCACTTAGGAAAAAGTGGCATTTATTTTTTAAATGACTGTGAGAGATATTTGCACTTCTCATGAGAAGCAAAGGGGGTTGTATTGGGGAAAAGCTCTCTGTGGCTTGTAACTGCTTTTCTGGGGGCTCTTTTTCCCCAGGAAGCTTTTGCAGCACGAATGCCCAATCTGCCCGGAAGCCAGACCTTTTGCCACTGTTGGGGACTTGGAGCAACATATGAGGAAGCAGCATGAACTCTTCTGCTGCAAACTCTGCGTGAAGCACTTGAAGGTAAGTGGCCACGAGGCCTCAGGAGCAATTGGAGTCAAGGGGAACCTCTTGCTGCCTGCCACAGCATGAAAGGCTCTGCTCTCTCTCTCTCTCTCTCTCTCTTTCTCTCTTTCTCACTTGCATTCTAGATCTTTACCTATGAGCGCAAGTGGTACTCACGTAAGGACCTGGCTCGGCACAGGATCCACGGGGACCCCGACGACACATCTCACCGTGGCCACCCCTTGTGTAAATTTTGTGACGAGCGCTATTTGGACAACGACGAGTTACTGAAACACCTGAGAAGAGACCACTTTTTCTGCCACTTCTGTGATTCTGACGGCGCACAGGAATATTACAGGTTTGTGCACAGCAACAGCCTGGGGCTACTATGGCCTCTTAGAAACGAGCCACTGGTTCTCCCCAGGCCCAGCTCTGTGTTGGTTTGTCTCCATTTCTATCTATCTATCTATCTATCTATCTATCTATCTATCTATCTACCATCTTGTCTTCTGCCTATATCATCACTTCAGAGGCCCCTCCCCCTTCTGGCACCAACGGCTGCTCTGGCCAGAGAAAAGACAGAAGGGAACAGAAGACACTGCCATCTTGTCTTTACTAATAATATAATATAGTATATTGTATATACATATGATATTTATAATATTATAATGTAATCCAATATAATACTAGTACAGTATATTCTGGTGTATAAGACTACTTTTTAACCCAGGAAAATCTTCTCAAAAGTAAGGGGTCGTCTTATACGCGGGTGTAGTCTTATGCATGGGAGTTGTCTTAACTCTATATTTTAACTGGAAAAGTTGGGGGTCGTCTTATACGCCCAGTCGTCTTATATGCCGGAATATACGGTAATAATAATTCAATATTATAATTATAATTATATATTTAATTACATGTAATATTACTAATAATATTACAATATAATGGTATAGTGCAATATAGTAATATATACTGATATTGTACTTTGCTAATAATATAATATATTGTATGAAAATATATATTGTAAGCCGCTCTGAGTCCCCTTCGGGGTGCGAAGGGCGGCATATAAGCGCCGTAAATAAATAAATAAATAAATTGTATAGGTACAGTATAACTGTCATAATTATATTACAGAAGTATTAAACAGAATCAATTAATACAAGTAAAAGGGATTGCATAGTGTTCTGGTATAGCTCAAATTCTACTTCTTTCTAATTCCATCTTAGTATCCTACTTATACCTTTCTCCTTATTCCTCCACCCTCCAGGAACAGTTGTGATTCAATTTTGGCTTTTATCCTATTTGTTGGATCATGGAGATGGTCTGATTTAGTTCCTTGTATTTTCCTTTCCCCTTCACTTTGGCTATCAGTTCTTTTGAGTTTTTTTGAGACCTAATTGTTCATAGGATATCTATTTATTCAAGAATATAATCCTGAAGCATAGTCTGCTAAATAGTCATGCCACTTTTAATTTCCCATTTTTTGTGCTCTTTCCATCCCAGCACAAACGTTGCTTGTTCCGCTCCTATAATATATTGTATAATATCTACCCAATCTTTATTACAATCTTTTCCTTCCATTTTCATGGCAAAAATAGTTTTTATTCAGTTCTGTTTGTAGCCCATATATTTCTTCCATTTCACCCTTTGTTGTATCTTGTCACCAGATATGTATAAAGGTTCCTATTTCGGCACATTTATACCAAGAAACTTTGTTGTGCTTTTGATCATATAAGCTAATTGGTATGGGTTCCATTTCTGTTTTTGCTGCTGCAAATGCATCTATGTTTTTGAGTTCGCCGATCAGTTAACAGGCACTGCCTCTATTTCTCCACTGTAGCGATTACGAATACCTCCGGGAACACTTCCGCGAGAAGCATTTCCTCTGTGAAGAAGGCCAGTGCAGCACTGAGCAGTTCACCCATGCCTTCCGGACTGAGATAGACTACAAGGCCCACAAGACGGCCTGCCACAGCAAGAACCGGGCAGAGGCCCGGCAGAACCGGCAGATTGACCTACAGTTCAACTATGCGCCAAGGCATCAGCGGAGGAACGAGGGTACGCTAGACTGGCTGGTTTTTTCATTTTTCAATAATTTTTAGAGGACAAGGGTTAACTTTCAAATTCTACAGCTATAGGGTGCTTGTAATGTTTGCTTTGTGCATGTTTCCTTGGCAGAGGAAAAATACTGAATACAGATGTAGATGTAGGACGCAGTGTGTTTCAGAGTCTTGGCTTTCTTAATGGGCAAGGATTTGCTTGGTTAAACCATTGAAAGCATGATTGAATAATGTCTGTGGCATGTACTTTCACTACTGTGGAAAGTCTTCTGGCTTTTTTTCATATCCAGGAAGACCATTGCAGGCCATTGTTGTTATTATTTTACTACTAATAATAATAATAGTAATTTTTTTCCCATGTCCAGGGAAACTTGAGAAATTACAAGTTGCTTCTGGTGTGAGAGAATTGGCTGTCTGCAAGGACGTTGCCTAGGGGATGCCTGGATGTTTTATCATTCTGTGGGAGGCTTCTCTCATGTCCCTGTATGAGAAGCTGGAGCTGACACACGGGAGCTCACCCTGCTCCCCATATTCGAACCATCAACCTTTCTGTCAGCAGCCAGCACAAGGGTTTAACCCATTGCGCCACCAAGGGCTAATAATAATAATAATAATAATAATAATAATAATAATAATTTTTATTTCTTACCCACCTCTCCTTATGGCTTGAGGGAAACAAGTTAGGTCTTGGAGAGCATGCAGTTCACCTCTGTTGTAGCATGATCTAATCCTCTGTGGTGTGGAATATTAAACCTTTGGGGAAAAGGGGCATTTTGAGGCTGATGCGCCCTGTATCTTCTAATTCCAGGTGTCGTGAGCGGGGAAGACTACGAAGAGGTTGATCGATATAGCCGCCAAATGAGAGGAGCTAGGACAGGCCTGCGAGGTGGGCAACAAAACAGGAGGGGCAGCTGGCGATACAAAAGGTAATGTTGCCTTTTGGGGGGGGGGGGCGCTTGCAAGTTGGAAAACAGTTTGTGAGAAGGAATGTAAACTGGGAAACAGGAGTGTAACCTCTGCATCGTTTCAGGATGCTCCTGGAACTTGCTGACAGAACTAGACTACTCTCGCATGTGGCAAAAGCTTTCAGCACCTTTTCCAGATTGTTTCCATTTATACAATACGTGGTGTAATTTTCATTTTGTGAAATACTTCCCAACAGTTCTTTTAAAAATAAACCAACCACCTGGAAAGTACAGAATAAGTTGTTACATAATAAATTCCTCCTCTAATTGTAGCTTGTCTGCTCTGCCTTTGATCAGCAGGTGTTCTCTGTGATAATAGAAATTTCCATCTTGTTAGTGGTCTCTTCCTGGATAATTTGTTACTACCAGCCCTTGGTGTGTCCTGCTAAGCTGCCCCCAATTTGTTCTCTAGTGAAGATGGACTGCCTTCCTGTGCTTTCAGATGAGGGGAGAACATTTTGCCTTTCCTGGCTCACTTTATTCCTATTGCTTTTAAAAAAAAACAGGGAAGAAGAAGACCGGGACATTGCTGCAGCGGTCAGGGCCTCAGTCGCTGCCAAAAGGCAAGAGGAGAAAAAGCGCGGGGAAGAAAAAGAGGAGAGTGTCCGTGGGAAGAAGGAGGATGCAAAGGACCCAGACTTGAACGCCTTAAAGCGAGGACCAAAGCCTCAGGCTGAAGCACCAGGTGAGCCACCCATGGGATCAGAAGGTAGCCTACCTGGAAGAAAAGACCCTTCAGAGGCCTTCTTAGTTCAACCTGCCTTTCTCTTCTTCCCCCCAAGCTCCCAAGGAAGCCCTTCCGAATGCCATTCTGAACCAGGAAGACTTCCCTGCCATTGGCACGCCAGTTGTGGGCTGTCTGCAGAGGTGAGGTCTTGATTTGGTGGGACCAGGCTCAAGCCAGATTTATGTAGGTTAATGTAAAATAATTTATGCAAATAAGACCAAAGAAGTGGCTTGGGGACAGTTGCAAGTTGGGCTCTCTTTGGTAGTTATGGCCATTGTCCCCCTCCGTATCAAACATCCTGTGACACGCCAGGCTTCTCCTTGCTGATGGAAAGTGGGGAGAGTGCAGCAAAGTGCCTGGTTACTTTCCTATAGCCAGAGGCAAAATGATAATACCTGCTAAGTGGTCCTAGTGGATGTAATTGTTTGTGTTTGGCTCTGTAGCCTTCTTTATTTGCTCTCTTCCTCTTCACAGAACATGGAGGAGCATTGGGAGGTAGCTTTGGTTGTGACCGGGGGTGGGGGAGAAACCAACCTTTGCATCCACCAAAAAAGGATATAGGCAGACATAGAGTGTAATTAGATCTGGATAGGGCACTGACAAGATATAGGAATGTCCTTGTTCTGCTGTCTAAGGCCAGAATTCCATTTCTCAAGCTGCCTTCCCTATAAAGCATAAGGGGTAATTGTCACAGAGCTGTTTGTGGAGTTATCACTTAGGCTCACTTCACAATGTGTTATTCTGGTCATGGAGCCAGCAGATGGCCAGAGTGAAGGTGGGCATGGGATGAGAATTTTATCTGCTTCCAAGAAGAAAGAGCTTGTTCCCTCAGAAACCAAAATTGTTTCCCCTCCGTGTCCCTTTCTTCATCAAGAGGTCTCCCAAGCCTCTCTTCCCCTTGTATTCTGAGCCACACTTTGCACATGCCCTAGAATCCCCAGCACTTGGGTTTTGAGCCATTCTTGGAGCAGTGGGTTCAAAGGGCAAGAAAGGAAATTCCACCTGAATATCAGGAAGAATTTCATAAGAACCGTTCAAGGGTGGAAGTCTCTGCCTTGGAGTGCAGTGGAGGCTTCTTTTGGGTTTTTTTTAACAGAATCTGGATGGCCATCTGTTGGGGGTGCTTTAATTGTGTTTTTCCTGCATGGCAGAATGGGTTTGGACTGAGTGGCCTTTAAAGATCCCTTTGAACCTCTAGGATTCAGAGGCTGGCTGGCCATCTGCCACCGGGGATTTAATTGTGGTTTTCCTGCATGGCAGAATGGAGTTGGACTGGGTGGTTTTAGAGATCCCTTCGACTCTAGGATTCTGTTTAGAAAGAAGTCCAAATCCTCTGCCTCTTGGGAAGGTGGATTTGAACTTGACTGCCATACGACCCAGTAGCAACCCAGAATCCTAAGGAAGTTCCTGGCCTCAGGGCTCCCTGCATTTATGCAAAATGTTTGTTTTGGGAAATGGCATTCATAACCTTTTGGAAAAAAACCTTTTGGAGTTCATAACTTTAGAAAAGCATGTCCTTTCAAAGAAGAGCCAAAGACCCTTTAGAATAGAATCTTCTCTTGTGGTATACAACCAGATATAATTACGCAAGGCAATGGTTTCAGTTGTTAGATGGAATAACCTGTTATCTCTGATCTGTTAGGAAAACAGAGATTTGCCAGTGCATACAAATAGCAGTGCTTCAGAAGTGTTTTTCAGTGGCCAAAGATATATCTACTCTCCCCATAAAAACGACTTTATGTTATGCACTCAAGAGACTAAATAAAGTAGACTTTGTATAATAACATATTTGGTTTACTCACAACTTTCATGTGTTCAGCATACACAGATGTAAAACCTATCCAGTTTCAGATAGGTTTGAGATAAATCTCTGTGCTATCTGGCCAGGGCTCCTCTTACAGCAAAAACAGCAAACAAGTGTGTGATCTGAGGTCTGAAGTAGTCTGTAGTCTGTCTGTAAAAGTCTGAAGTGATCATGTGGTCTGCAGCTCTTTTTATAACTTCTCAGGAATCATAGAATGAAGGAAGCTGCATACTAGAACATATATACAAAGAATAAGCAACAGGATAATAGATAAACATATCACTAGTGAAGGCTTGAAGAAGGTTGTCATTTCCAACAGTTTGGGGTTGCATGATATTGTACGGGGTGAGTCCTCATGTGCGATATTCCCCTTGCAGCTCCTCCCAGCCAGCCCCAGTCAAGCTGGATGAAGAAGACTTCCCCAGCCTCTCTTCCTCCTCCACTCCCGCCGCGTCCTCGGCCCTCTCCTTGAGCTACACAGCCACCGCCAAGAGGTCTGCCTTCCAGGAGGAGGACTTCCCGGCCTTGGTGTCCCGCGTCCAGCCAAACCCGGTCTCGGCCCTCACATCCGCCTGGAGCTGCAGCTCTGGCAAAAACGTGGCCCGGGCCGTAGCCACCGTTAACTCCAGCCAACCACCTCGGAAAGCAGCCCCAAGTGGTGGCACAAAGGGGATCAAAAAGACCAAGGCGGCGCTTCTTTCCGGAGATGAGGAGGATCGAAGTGGCGGTGGCCTCACCACCCAGGAGATCCGCACGGCCCCAACCATGGTGGACGTTTCCTCCTTGCTGGCCACCTCCAGTTCCCAAGGGTTCATTAGAGTGGGCCGGAAGAAGAAGGTTGGGGCAGAGAAGTCAAAGGCGGCCTCGCCCCCCACGTTACAGGAAGCCGCGCCCGACCTGGCTTCGGGAGAGAAGGGGCCGGATGTTAAGCCCTCCCCTGACCTCCCTCCAGCAGCGGCTGTTGTGAACGGCCACTCTGAGAAGGCCTTCCTCCCTAGTCAGGCTTCCAAAGAGCCCCCCGGCCTCAAGAAGCCCCCTGCCGCGAACCAGGCCCCGTTGCCTCAAGAAGATTTCCCTGCCCTTGGAAATGCAGGACCGCCCCGAATGCCTCCCCCTCCAGGTAAGGGCTGCAGGTGGGAATTCAGAATGCACCATAAGGTTAGGAGTTCTGTTTCATTAATCCCAAAAATGTTTAAAAATGCCAGGTGGCTACAAAAATGGATTCCATATGTGCTTGAATGAGATTCGGGGCAGAGCCTGAGCTCTTCCTTTGATATGGACTGGGTTATGGTTGTTTTTTGGCCACACCCCATAACATGTGCAAAGGGCCCTGCCACCAGCTGTGGTTGAGAAAGTATGGGACCATAGGCCTTTATGTCCTGCCAAAAATACATTATATGATTATGTGTTTTGAACTATGTCATGCCTCTCCTTGAGCAGATAAAAGATAATAATAATAATAATAATAATAAATTTTTATTTGTATTTCATCCTATAACCCCGAGGGGAATCAGGACGAATTCCAACATAACAATGGCAAACATTCAGTGCCTTCATAAAACAAACAAATACTGATGTAAAATCCCAGAGAAACCCATCATATGAAAATAACTTTCAAAACTAACATCAAATTAAAGCCTGATGTAAGTAAATTAAACCTAACATCAGTAAATTAAGCTACACGTAGTCAAACAAAATTATATAATAAGATAAAATCTAAACAAACATCCACATTAATATACAACAGCCAACTAGAGTTCACAAAACAGTGTGGGTTGGTTGTGTAGTTTATTATTATTATTGTTGCTGTTGTATTTCTTGAATTCTAAAACACAATTCTAAATTCCTATTACACTATGTAACAAAATTTGATTTTTTTTCTGTTCCTTGTTTGAAAGTGTTATTTCCTATTTAACTGTGTGGTACTTACTTTAAAACTAGTTGTTTTAGCTCTGCTTGTGGTCTGTCTGTGCGATTTTCTTGCAGCAGCTGAGGATGTGATCTATTGTTTCATCTGCTTCCTTGCAGAATCTACAGTTATTATTATTATTATTATTATTATTATTATTATTATTATTATTGCTGTTAATCAGATTTCCCAGGAACAGATTCCGAGCATCGCTAAATTCTCTGAACAGCTCAATCTGGGATGAAATAGAATTGAACCCAAGCCTTCATACAAATCAGACAGGACATCCTTAATACTTTATTTATTTATTTATTTATTTTGTATCAAAAGCATTGCATAAATAAGTATAAAACTGATAAAATAGAAGGAGCAAAAGCGGCTAAATATTTTTTGATCAAAACCAGGCAACAGTGCCTTCATAGTCTGTAGGTTTAAACAGTTCTTCCTCTGTACATGAGGCAGGGTATTGTGGACAAGCATACAGATGTGGAGTTGTTTGTTCTGCTCCACAGTCGCACAAGGTGGAGGATTCTTTTAGGTAGTGCCATTTTGCCAGCTTGTCTTTTGATCTGCCCACTCTTAATACTGAGACAGGCCACCTAGCTGAGTTTTTACCTGTTTGGGCAGGAAATGGCTCTCCAAGGCCTTTCCCAATTCTTTTCCCTGAGAGCCTTTGACTGGAATTGAGCTAGGACTCCATGCTTATATTGTTCCGGTAATCTGTGCCTCTGCCCGTTCCCCAGCTTTGGTTCATGGTCCTTAAAATGGTAAAGACTATCTGTGAAAATAACTCAAGGAGGCACTTCTGGCTCAACCTCAATGCATAGGAAGGAAATTCATGAAGGCCCTAAGGAGCGGTGAATAAAATGCTCGCCTTGGCTGACGTCATAATGGCTCTCCTTGGTTCCGAATCTCCTAGGTTTCAACTCTGTGGTGCTGCTTAACCCGCTGCCGCCTCCTGGGCTGTCAGGCCCCCTGAGCAAACCACCCCCGGGCTTCGTTCCAATTACACCTGCTTCGGATACTGCCCCTGCTCCTCCAAAAGAGTAAGTGGCCCTTTGAGGCAGCTCCTGCATCGTCTCTATTCTCCCTTTATGTAGTGACTTAGGCCTTCTGTTTGGGGCGGGGGGGGGGGGGCAACTCATGGTATTCTCATGGTGGTCCTTGGATTCTGGAGACACTTTCTAGGGATCCCTTCCTGTGCCAACAAATGCCTTCTTATTGCCGCAGACCTTTTAGACATAGTTTAATTGACTGCTTTTTGGCCTCACTTTGAGGAACATGCTGCCCCATAGTCCTTGAAATATTTGTATGTGAATTATATTTGGGTCCTCCCCTCCATTCATTTCAACTGAAGGGTGAGATGGAAATACTATACAGTAAGATCCCATATCTGCAGGGGATACATTTTTGGCGAAACCACATAGGCAACAAAATACCATTGAATTGCCTCATCTCTGGTTCCAGCCGGCCATAGAATTGCACTGGAGGACTTAGAAGAGGAAAAGTAATGCAAGTCTGTGTAAGCTAGATCCGCCAATGCAACTTTCAGGGAGAAAGTATACTATAGAGTTGCCTGGAGGTTCATAATACATTTCTAGAGAGACTATTTTCTCTCTGAAAGTGTGTAAAGGGAAAGCATAGATAAGGTTTTCACAATTATAAAGGTCACTGTAATAGATATGTGAGAGAGGCACTGCTACTTACAAGTTTTGGGCCCCATTTTACACACTTCGTAATGCCTTCAGCATTAAAACCAGAGGCAACTTGCACTGCAAAAGGTTTCATATCTAGAATTGCACACAAAGGATTTCTTGTCTAGACCTCCAACTGATTGGGTTTGGAGCTGGGGAAATGAATTACACCTGCAGCACAGTGTTCTGATGCCTCTCTGTGAGCAGCAGATAATCTATATAAATAAAAATGTAATGTTCGTTTGTGGTATTCACAGAACCCAAAAACCACTGGATGAATTGACACCAAATTTGGACACAAGACACCTATCAGGCCAACGAGTGACCATCACTCATAAAAACATTGGAAAACACAGTGGAAGGGACTTAAAAAGCCAAAAAACAAAAAATGCATTACAACACATGCACAAAACCACATATACATGGAAACACACACACACATATATACATATACACAAATATATATACACACACACATATATACATTTACACAAATATATATACACACACAAAGCACATATACACAGACTGTGCCACAGCACGCATGCGCAAAACCACTTATATACACAAACACACATATATACAAATATATACACACACAAAACACATATACACAGACTGGGCCACAGCACGCATGGGCAAAACTACTTATATACACAAACACACATATATACACATATATACACAAATATATACACACACAAAACACATATACACAGACTGGGCCACAGCAACGTGTGGCAGGGGACGGCTAGTCTATATAAATAAAAATGTAATGCTTGTTTGTGGGATTAACAGAACAAAACCACTGGACGAATTGACACCAAATTTGGACACAAGACACCTGACAACCCAATGTATGTCCTTCACTCAAAAAATTGATTTTGTCATTTGGGAGTTGTAGTTGCTGGGATTTATAGTTCACCTACAATCAAAGAGCATTCTGAACCCCACCAACAATAGAATTGGACCAAACTTGGCACACAGTTCGCCCATGACCAACAGAAAGTACTGGAAAGGTTTGGTGGGCAGTGTCCTTTGGTTTTGGAGTTGTAGTTCACCTACATCCAGAGATCACTGTGGACTCAAACAATGATGGATCTGGACCAAACTCTACATGAATACTCAATATGCCCAAATGTGAACACTGGTAGAGTTTGGGGAAAATAGAATCTTCACATTTGGGACATGTAGTTGCTGGGATTTATAGTTCACCTACAATCACAGAGCATTCTGAATGTCACCAACGATAGAATTGGGCCAAACCTCCTACACAGAACACCCATGTGGGCCACAGCAACGCATGGCAAGGGACGGATAGTGTTTTATAAAAGAAACACCTGAAGATGGTTCACTTCTCTCCCCCCTCCCAAAAAAAAAAAACAGGCCAAAACCTTGCCAAGGACCCTACCTGATCCTAGAAAACTTCCAGCAGCGGAACATCCAACTCATCCAGTCCATCAAGGAATTCCTTCAGGACGACGAGTCTCAGTTCAACAAATTCAAGACCTATTCAGGGCAGTTCAGGCAGGTGAGGAACCCACACTTTCGAAGCATTTGCTACCTTTTGCTCATTCCTCTTCATTCTACTCCCAAATAGCTCTTTCCCTCAAGAAATCCTAACTGATACTTCATTGGAGTATCTTTCCTTGTAAATTGAATCTATATTTTTGTCTTAAATGTTTAATTGAATATTCTAAAAGAAAATATCCCATGATTTGTTTCACAAAAAGGGGCTTTTGGAGGGAAACCTTTTCCCCATTTTGTCTGTATTGTTTTCTGGACTGTCACATGTCTATTCAAGGTGAAAATTTGGCATGGATTCGACGTCACTTTAAATGCAGTCTCTGAGGATGTAGCGAGAGCATCTGCTTGTCCGGTTTTATTGGATTCATTTCAGTTGGTTCAGCTTGAGGATGTGGACAGGATCCTTGGAGAGGAGTGACCTACCACATGCATCCTAGACCCCTGCCCATCCTGGCTGATAAAGGAAGCCAGAGGGGGTTTGGCAGAGTGGGTGAAGGTGGTGGTTAATGCCTCCTTGTGGGAGGGCAAAATTCCAGCGAGCTTAAAACAAGCTATCATAAAACCGCTGTTGAAAAAACCATCACTGGACCCCACTCAATTAGACAACTATCGGCCAGTTTCCAATCTTCCCTACTTGGGCAAAGTCATGGAACATGTGGTGGCAACACAACTCCAGGGATTTCTGGTAGACACTGATTATCTAGATCCTGCACAGTCTGGCTTTAGACCAGGACATGGAGCGGAAACAGCCTTGGTCGCCTTGGTAGATGATCTTCGCCGGGAGCTGGACAGGGGGAGTGTGTCCCTGTTAGTTCTGCTGGACCTCTCAGCGGCCTTCGATACCGTCGATCACGGTATCCTTCTGGGACGCCTCAGAGATATGGGACTTGGGGGTACTGCCTTGCAGTGGCTCCGGTCCTTTCTTGAGGGACGGTCCCCGAAGGTGTTACTGGGTGACACCTGTTCTGCCCCACAACCGTTGTCGTGTGGAGTCCCCCAGGGTTCAATTCTGTCCCCAATGTTGTTTAACATCTACATGAAGCTGCTGGGGGAGATCATCCGGAGTTTCGGACTGAGATGTTATCTCTACGCAGATGGTGTCCAGATCTGTCACTCCTTCTCAACTGTCACAAAGGAGGCTGTCCAGACCTTGAATCGGTGTCTGGCTGCTGTGTCGGACTGGATGAGAGCTAACAAATTGAAATTGAATCAGACAAGACAGAGGTCCTACTGGTCAGTCGTAAAGCCGAACAGGGCATAGGGTTACAGCCTGTGTTAGATAGGGTTACACTCCCCCTGAAGACACAGGTTCGCAGCTTGGGAGTGATCCTGGACTCATCGCTGAGCCTGGAACCCCAGGTCTCGGCGGTGGCCGGAGAGCTTTTGCGCAATTAAAACTTGTGCACCAGTTGCGCCCGTACCTTGGGAAATCTGATCTGGCCACAGTGGTCCACGCTCTTGTTACATCCCGATAGACTACTGCAACGCACTCTACGTGGGGTTGCCCTTGAAGACTGTTCGGAAACTTCAACTGGTCCAGCGAGCGGCAGCCAGATTGCTCACCGGAGCGACATACAGGGAGCACACCACCCCTGCTGTGTCAGCTCCACTGGCTGCCGGTTCAATTCCGAGCACAATTCAAGGTGCTGGTTTTGACCTACAAAACCCTTTACGGTTCCGGTCCTGTGTATCTGTCCGAACGTATCTCCCTCTACGTCCCACCCCGGAATTTGAGATCATCTGGGGAGGCCCTGCTCTCGACCCCACCACTATCACAAGTGAGGCTGGTGGGGACGAGGAGCAGGGCCTTCTCAGTGGTGGCCCCTCACCTGTGGAACTCACTCCCGGGGGATATCAGGGCATCAACATCCCTCCTCGCCTTCAGGAGGAAGGTAAAGACGTGGTTGTGGGACCAGGCCTTTGGGCAATCTGATAATTAGATATGGAAACCAGATGGATAGGACTGTAAGGACTGACAATTGTGGAATTGGAATTTAACTATGAGATTGTGAAATGCTGACTGTCAATGAGGTTTGTATTGGTTTTATTGCTTTTACTGGTTTTATGGTTGTTTTTGCCTATAATAATTATTGTTTTCTGTTAATTGTTGTTATGGCTAGAATTGCTGTTTTTGGTAACTGATGTTATTGTTTTTTGCTGTTATGTGATGCGGGCATCGAATTGTGCCTTGCCTTTGTACGCCGCCCTGAGTCCCCCCCGGGGTGAGAAGGGCGGGGTAGAAGCAACCGAAATAAATAAATAAATAAAAATGTGGTCTTCTTAAGTTCACAGAGTATAATTCTTTTGTTCTGTTTTGTCCCAAAAATTGGAGACTGCAATTATCACATATAGTAGTAATCCTCCGTGTTTTCTTTCTAGTTTGTTTGGTTTTTTTTATGTCAGGAGCGACTTGAGAAACTTCAAGTCACTTCTGTTGTAAGAGAATTGGCCATCTTCAAGGACGTTGCCCAGGTGATGCCTGGATGTTTTGATGTTTTGCCCTCTTTGTGGGAGGCTTCTCTCATGTCCCCGCATGGGGAGCTGGAGTTAACAGAGGGAGCTCAACCCACTCTCTCCGGATTTAAACTGTTGACCTATTGGTCAGCGGTCCTGCCAGCACAAGGGTTTAACCCATTGTGTCACCAGGGGCTCTACTTTCTAATTTATTATTCAGGTTTCATTCTGATTTCATTATGATTGAACCCTAACAGTTTTTTCCAGCATATCTAATATATTTATAACGGTACGTTTTAATATTTGCATTATAGTTTATGTATTTTATGTTGATATGTTTACACTTTGTTGTACCCTGCCTCGAGCTGTTAGGAGAGGCAGGTAACAAATAATTTGTTGTTGTTGTTGTTGTTGTTATTTGAGTCTAGTATTTCTGGGTCCTTTTGCAAGAACCCCACATAGGGTAAAATGTCCCAACTTTTCTCTCACATTTCCAGCATTTTCTAGAGCTACCTTTGCACTCTTTAGAAAGTCTCCCTAGTGTCGAGTGCATCATCTTGTAGCATTTTTCTTCCAATCCAGTTACGGCATTTCATTATATAATGGTCACATTTTAATCCCTTTTTTAAATCAAAAAAGTGGGTGTGACTATTACGCGGTGAAAAAATTCTACCTTTGAATCTTCTGACTTCTGTATTTATTTATTTTTTTAAAAAGGTCTTACCTGTGAGACAGAAAAAGGAGGAATGATCCAGCCTCAAACAAACAAGTCTATTTCTGTTTGCTTGTTTTTTTAAACGGCCTTGCCTTGGAGAAAGATGGAATGAAGTCCCTTCTTTCTCCAAAGGCAAGGCAGTTTACAAAATGGAATGGAGCTCTTAAAGGAAGGAGGAAAGATCCAGGTTACAGAGATCTCCATTCCATGTTTTTAAAACTATCTCAAGAGTAAGGAGGGAAGAACGGAATTCCAGAAACCTCCATTCTATTTACAATTTTTAGATGGTCTTGCCTTTAGGGAAGAAAGGAAAGGAAAATCTGCTCCAAACGGTTTTGCGACTATTATGCAAGGAATCTAAAAATACTAATTTTTGCATGTGTAGGTTTCTATGCCGCCTTCTAACTCTTCCGTTTTCTAAAATGTTCAACTCTCCTTCTCTGCTCCAGGGCCAGATTTCTGCAGAGCAGTATTACCGGAGCTGCCAGGAATTGCTTGGTGAGAACTTCCGAAGGATCTTCAGTGAGCTGCTGGTGCTGCTGCCAGACACGGCCAAGCAGCAGGAACTGCTGGCCACCCACAACGAGGCCCGGGCCAAGGCTGGGAAGCCACGGAAGAACCCCCGCAAGGCGGCCTGGCAGCCAGAGCCAGGCCTGGGCCTGGACTGTTGTGTCTGCCCCACCTGCCAGCAGGTGCTGACCCTGCAGGACATGGCCTCCCACAAGGCCTTGCACTTGGAGCAGGAGGAGGAGGAGTTCCCATCCCTGCAGGCCATCAGCCGGATCATCAGCTAGCTGTGCCAGGTGAACCAATAAAAAAGGGCCGTTTCCATCTTTTAAAAAAGCAAACAAGCAACACATGCTTCTTGGGGGGTGAGCTCTCAAGAGAGCAGATGGCGCTGTGGATGTCTGTGTGAGTTGGAGGGGAAGGAAAAGGCGCTGGCATATTGGGGAGGCAGTGGAGCCAGGGCAGCTCTTCTGCTTTTTCTGAATAGGCTGGCATCACAGGGTCACAGGCTTTGTGCCTTGACTCCCCACCAGAGGTGGGGGATTTGCTGTTTTCTGAATGTAGGCATGGAGCGGGGTAGGGACATTTTTCTTGAAAAAGGTTAGGATGGTTAGTCATAAAGGGGAACCATTGGGAATGGCGAAAAGTGCAGGCAGAAGAAGCCTGGGAGTGATGATAGGTGCAACGAGCCCTGTCCCTCTTCACTCCTTTCTTTATGGCAAATTTGAAGCTGCTGTTAAGCCTTTATATTGTTTTGGGTAAGAGAATCCTCCTTATTTCCTTCCCTTTCTGTCCTCCTCCATGTAGGAACAGACCACATTGTGTGTTTTTCCTTCTCCCTGTAAACATTCATTTCTAGCCTAGAGGTACAATTCAGGTTGTGTTCTGCAGTTTGGGAGGAAGTAACAGCACTCCACCTCTGACTAGCCAGCTCATTAAAGGCAGCTCCACATTGATTATCATCCAATGCTGCCGTCTCATGCCTCCAAACTCCATGTCTGGTGGATGTTAATAAAGGGCAACAAGATAGGAGGATCTCTTTAGTCCTTCTGCAGAACGGCCTTGGCTGACGTTTTGTGTTTCCTTCCAGTAAACAAATCAGTTGCTTGGCTTAAGGAGTGAAAAACCCCAAAGTTAAAATCAAAAGAATATAGGGAGCCACATTGGATGCCCATATAGACCAGTAATATCAGCTGCAACTGATAGCTTTCAGGTAGATTCTCTCAATGCTATGGCTTTCCCCATCCAAAGACCAACCAGGCTCACATGTACCCAGAATTTGTTGGTTTTTTTCGGTGTTTGGAGGTTTGAGGCACAGGAAGGGTAGAGATCTAGATGCCACAAAAGAGAGGGTTAGGGATAGCATAAGGCCTGCAAGCTGGATGACCTCTCTTTGGGTCTCAGGCCTTGGCACTGGACACCATGCTCCTCAGAACGCTTCTCCCTCCATTGATTCCTGCTTGGATTCCCACAGGTTTTGATGGGGCAAGTATAGCAACAAACGAAGCAGCTGCTGTAGATGCCACCTTCCTACTTGGGGTTTTAACAGACACAACTCTCATAAAACAGGGCACACACCTAACTCAAGTCTCACAAATCATCCTTTGCAGCCCATGATCCATTTTGTTGCCTTGTCTGGATCTCTGGCCGTATGTTTCCCCTGCCTTTAGCCAATGTTGACTTAAATAAACCAGGGTCAGTGACGCTTCCATTGTTCAGAAAAGTTCTCAGTTGTTACAGAGATTCTCAGTTGTTCTAGATGGCCACAGGCTGCATTCAAGGTCTGCTTTATCCACGGCCTCCTTCTTCCTCCCCTTGGTTTCCGTCATAGGATGTTACTGGAGACACCGTTAAATCTTAAAATCTTTATTGGAAAATAAGTTGCAGTCAGTTCACAGACAATTAAAAGTACACAATCACAGATTGGTTGTTTTTGTCTTTCCAAATGGTCTTTTATCTTTCTAGAATAGTCATTATTATTATGTACATACAAAAAACAACTGTAAACATTTTTAAAAAAAGAAAGAAGAAGAAGAAGAAGAAACTTCTTTTACACAGATCACTTTTCAACCACAGTATACATTGGAGGAATAACAACTGCAACTGTATGTTGTTGTTGTTTTCGGTAGCAGCAGTTTCGTGCTTTGGAAGAGAGGTATCTGCACGTTTGGTATGTTTTATTGGACGCTATGCGAAGGAGGTGGAAATGTGTACATCGCAGCAAACTGCAGGCCGCTGGGAGGGAATCCTTCTTTTGCTCTCTTTCTTGTATTTCTATCATATGACTTACAAGCAACAGCGAAGGATGTTATACTTATATATATATAGGTATAATATATAGACATATCTATATAGATATATATATAGGTATATCTCACAGGTAAAGGCAAAAGGGTTTGGCCCTTGTTGTGAAGAAGCTCCGTACTAGAATGAAGGCGGTGTGAAGGGAGGCCTGGGTTAGTAACCTGTTTTTGCTCCTGTGGCATAAAAAGAAAGTTGGCTTGGCAAACATTAGGATTTTTGGTAGACAGCCCTAAAGGCTGTGGTTAACTGGATTAGTGAAGGCCATATGAGGCCTTCCTTGGCAGGGTTTTACTTGGAAGTTCCTCTGAGGTGGAGAGAGAGAGAGAGAGGGAGGGGGGTTATTCACTCAAAAGAAGGCCACCCAAATGTTTCCGTGGCTGAGCAGGGATTCAAACCCTAGGTTTTCTCCAAACTAGTCTCTGGTTGGAAATTCTCAATGGAGAGGGACTGGGAGCAAAGGGAGGACGGGGTTTATGGCTTCAGGTGGAGAAGCAAATAGTTGGTACAGGAGGACCTGGAAATACAGAGGCACATTTTCTCTTGGCATTTTTAGGTTCTCCAGCACAATTCAATGGAATATTTCTGCAAACTAACCTTACAGTTGCACTGGATGGCCTGGAAATACTAGAGAGATGCCATTATATGCTTCCCATAATACACTTCCTTTAGAAGCAGCTCATTTGAGTAGGATTCACATTTCCATGCTGCTAAGTCCCCTGTGAAAATGGGGCTACATTTACTCAAGTCTCATGAGGCATTGAATCTAATGCGCACCTCCGTTTTCAAATCCCTGAAACCAAAAAAAGTATTTGCTGATGAATATAATGCGCAGCAGCAAAAGGTGCACTCTTTGTAATATGCCCGTTACAGTTGCTGCCTGCTCAGAATTCCTTCTGTAAAAATCATTGGAACACCAAAGCAGTGGAAAAAGAAACCTTGGGGTGTATCTATGCTGTAGAATGAATGCACTTTAACTGCCTTGGTTCAATGCTATGGAGTCAGGGGGGCTGTACTTTTGCAAGGCCTTGAGTTTTCTCTGTTAAAGAGTGCAGATGCCTCACCAAACTATAAATCCTAGAATTACATAGCGTTGAGCTATGACATTTAAACTATGGGTGACATCCCTCAAATAGAAGCTGTAGGTGATTCTTAAGCAGCTTCCTCTATTGCTTTGGCTCAGCACTGAGATGACTGTATGACTCCAATCTAATGTGCACCCTAATTCTGGCAAGGTAATTTAGCCAAAAAGGTGAGTGTTAGATTCAAGTAAATATAGTATATTGTATGTCACAGATAGGATGCTGGCCGCTGCCTTAGGCACCTTGAACACACCAGTAGAAGGGTATAATCTAAGCCAGTGGATCAGTCCATGGGTAACCTTCACAATTCCTTGTGCTGTCCAAGCCATTTGAGGATTCCCTTACTGCACCTGGGTGAGCAGTGGGCCCTCCTTTTGGCCAAAAAAAGAGTTCTTTGGGGAAGTCACTTGACCAGGCCTTACTTGTCGGATGAGAAACCCTTCCTACAAAGCGCCATTAAAGCCAGTGCCTTTGGAGTCCTTTCAGGCTCAAGGAGAAAAAGAAACGAGTTGGGGTCAAGGATGGAGAAGAAAATACATCTGTAGGCAAAAGGTGCATACATTCAAAATGGTAATATACAACACAACAACACTGCTTTCCACTCAGACAGAAGAACATGGACTCTCTCCTTTTTTTTCCTCCTCCTTTTTACAGGCAAATACACGGATACTCTGGAATGGATTCATCATTTTTTATACAGTTAGAAAAAATACACTTGTACCGAACAGACATTTATATTTTGTACAATCTCGATCGAAAGAAAAGACATTAAAGGTGTATGACGGCTTCCGTCTGTTGCCTAAAAATACTGGAAAACACACAGTCGTCCGCTAGGATGGCAGTGTTCTCTCTAAGGGAAATATTGCTACAGTTCGACTGCTTTCAGACCCTGTTTGTTTCGGAAACCATTTCAGGTTCAGACCCCGCATATTTAGGGTTTTTGGATACGAGACCGAACCCGGTTGTGTCCCGTTACGAAATTGTGAATGGGGGACAGATGCTGAAATGTGAATACAGTCCAATTTGGTATTCTGATACCCATCATCATTTAATGGAGTTACCATTATTCTAGTAATATGACTCATATGCAAGACTTATGAAGCATCTCCGTACACAAAGGTTGAGGTTTGCAGCAACTTTGGGAGGAATCCATAATTTTGGCCCCAAAACTTGCTCTCGACTTAAACATGGGGTCAACTTACACATCAGTGTGTTTCAGGAAGCTGATCCCATTGATTCAATAGGTCTACTCATATGGAGATGGATAAGATGGAGATGGGTTCAGGCCACTCGATCAATGACTGATTGGTAAATCCAGCACTTTCTGTACAAGTCTAAACCAGCCATGGACAAACTTCGGCCTTCCAAGTGTTTTGGACTTCAACTCCCACAATTCCTAACAACCTACCAGCTGTTAGGAATTGTGGGAGTTGAAGTCCAAAACACCCGGAAGGCTGAAGTTTGCCCATGGCTGGTCTAGACCAATATATAGGTCATATTGAAATGTATAATGTTGACCCAAAACTTACCCTCGACTTATACATGAGAATATATGGTAAGTCAAACCCATTGATTCAATAGGGATGGAAATGGGTTCAAGGCTACTCAATCAATGGCTGATTGGTCAATCCACTTGCTGTACAGACTCAACTTGCAGATTTTAATATGACCCTTGTTGAAGTTAAGAAGTCTACACAGAGTGTTTATCAATTTGTCATTGATTGAATACATGTATTTAGCAAAATGCCAGGTGCATAACACAGCCTTACTTCTCAATGTATTGGATACCATTTTGAGAAGACCGTTCCCATTGAGGGACACAGGGTTTCCTATTCTAGTCCCTCTTCTATTTATCCGTTTCCTCCAAAATGGCTTCAAATTCCTCTTTCTAATTTGGGAGATGGAGAAATGTATGAGTTGGAAAGTTGGGATGCTCCACTTGGCCTGTTTTAGGTCCTTCTGGACCTACCGTAATGCTTCATTTCTTGCTCTTGTGATGGCTGTTCCAAATCTGAAATGTTTTCCCCTTAAGTGCAAAAATGTGATTTAAACAAACGAAGGGAAAATGTATTAAAGCCCAGAATCCTATCTAAAAACCTATATGTGAAGCTAAAGTTTGCAGCCTAGATTTATTCATTTCAGGAATTTCATAACTGTACAAAAAGTAACATAATGTAATATTTGGCTTAAGATTTTGGCACTTTTTTTGGGGAAAAACAAGAGGAACCCAAGTGACGTTTCCTATGGTTTAAAAAGGAAATAATGAAGGAAGGAGGATGTCCCTCAAATGAAAACTAAGAGAACGATATTTTGGGGGAGTTTAGCCCCGGAAGACGAGTTAAAGCATCTACTTATTTGGGGGAGAAAAGTGGAAAATTGGGGGGAAAGTTTTGGAAAAACTGACTGAGCGATAGCTCATTTCCTGTGCGTTTTCCAGCCGTGAGCAGCAGCAACCATCCTTAAATGTCCTGCTTAGAGGGAACACTGTTGAGTTTGTGTTTTGTATATATATTTATTTATTTATATATATATATGTATGTCTATATATCTCTTTTAAAAAAGAAAGAAGATCCTCGGACAGGTAAAAGACAAGAACCAATACCACCACGGTACAGAATCCACTGTATCACCAGATGAGCTAAGAGTTAAAAGTTGAACCCGGCACACATTTAAAACTCGCCATACATTTAGAAAACTAAGAAGAGGACTCTTGGAATACATTTCGCGACCAACCAGTTGACTATACTTTGCACCATAGAAAGGGAAGCCAGGCCCATTTCCACTGGGCCAGGTCCCGTTTGCTATACAACCACATGGGACGATACCCCCCCCCCCCAATAATAGCAGACCCCACCATGCTCCTCAATAGGCTGGCACCTGGTAGCCCTTGGGGCTCGTGTCCAAGGTCTCGGAGAATGGGGGGCTCTGGTAGGTGTCCGTGCTTTCCACGCCCGAGCCGGTGGGGTACCCGGGGTATCCTGCATTGGGATCCGGCGGGAACTGGTCTGTAGCGAAGAGCGACATGTCCGTCCCCAGGCGGAACCGCTGTAGCGCCTTCAAAGCCAGGGCCACCTGCACAAGGAGAGAAAGAGGATCTGTTTGGAGGGTAGGCACAAACGGGTCAATTCGCACTTGGGGAGGGTGCTGAGCACTTCTCTGGGAAAATGAAGTCCTCCAAATTGACCATACAGTTGTGATGGTAGACCTAGGTCAGGCATGAGCCAGCTCTTGCCCTCTAGGTGTTTTGGACTTCAGCTCCCAGAATTCCTAACAGGCTGTTAAGAATTGTGGGAGTTGGAAGTCCAAAACACCCGGAGGGCCGGAGTTGGCCCATGCCTGTCCTAGAGGAAACACTTCTAGCAAGCTCCCTAGGTTCTCCAAAACAATCCTATGGTCATGTTGTAGAAGGTGAAGCAGTGCTGGAGGACTGCTTCATCTTGTGCTTCTCCTTTTTCCTCTTCCGCTGCTGCTTTTACTACTGCTACTTTTACTCCTGTTTTTACTTCATCTTTGTCTGTTTCTCCTTTTACCCCTTCCGCTGCTACTTCTACCACTTGTACTTCTATCTTTATTTCTGCTTCATCTCTTTCTGCTTCTCCTTTTTATCCTTTCACTACTATGTCTACTATTACTTTTAGTTCTATTTTTACTTCTTCTGCTTCTACTTTTACACCTTCTCCTACTTCATCTTCTTCTGTTTCTCCTTTTATCCCTTCTACTTTTTCTTCTTTTACTTATACTTTTACTTCCGTTTCCTCATCTTCTGCTTCTCCTTTTCAGCTTTCTGCTGCTGCTTCTACTACTACTACTTTTACTTATATTTTTACTTTCACACCATCTGATTCTTTTACTTTTACTTCTATTCATTTATATCTCACTTTTATCTCGACTGAGATGCAATAAGACCTGGATTTTCCTAGACGAGAATTCCCCCAGGTTGTAAAAAATTGCAACTTAATTCATTTATTAATTAATCCTGCAAAGGTGGAAAGCCTACTACAATTCATTTGGGAAGCAACTGTTATCTCTTTTTTGCTTTTTGCTTGACCAGGGGGTGCATAACGCATTTTAGACATCACTTGAACTGCCAAGGCTTGATGCTGTGGGTGTAGCTTTACGTGGTATTTAGCACCGAGCAAAGTTCAAGTGGTACCAAACTGAATCAATTCTACAGTGCAGATGCACCACTGGTCATGGATTTGGGATGCGTGCAGGGGGTACTTCTGCAACTGGAAGGACCTTGGTGACAAACACATACCCAGGAGATGATGGAGAAGAAGGAGAAGGCAATGGCCGCTCGCGCCGCATCTCCGGCATGGGAGGCTGCTTTGCTGGGTGCCGTCCGCTGCCATTGGTTGGCCAGAAAGCAGAAGGACACAAACCACAAGAAGGCCCAGAAGCCTGCAAAGGAAGAAGGGAAAAGTGCAAAGAGTGGTCAGTCACATCTCATCCAGCAAGAGGATTCCTCTGCAGTACTAATTTCTTAAAGGAGTAGGGTACAGCGTTGACTTTCCTTCTCAAAAGACTTCCTCCTTCACACAGGCCTTTGACTTTATAATCTATACATTTGCTTTGCTACAAAACTATCGAAGACAAAGGAGTCCTCTCCCATCTTGGTGCTTCCTGCCGGGACCCACCTGAGAAACCCAGGTCGACCAGTACCACGCGCTTGCGGTCCTTGACGCTGCTGATCTGCTGGAAGTAGAGGTCCACCACCAGGAAAAGGCTGCAGGCCAGGAAGGCAATGAGGCCGATGGTGATGGCGTAGTTACAGGCGCTCTCGTTGGCATTGAATGCGCAGCGCAGCAATGGGGATTTGTCAGTGTTGACATAGCCTTCGTTGATGATGGAGCCAAATACCACAATGGCAAAGACCTGCAGGAGGGAGAAGGGAGGGGAAGGCAGTGAAACATCCATCCATGGATGTATATATGCTTCTGTCCGTCTGTCAATATGTCCACCTATCCATCCGTCTTATCTATCCATCCTTCCTTCCTTCCTTCCTTCCTTCCTTCCTTCCTTCCTTCCTTCCTTCCTTCCTTCCTTCCTTCCTTCCATGTATTAATCTATCAATGTATCTATTCATCCAACCATCTGTCCGCCTATCCATCCAGCTATTCGTTTATCCATCCTTCCATCCATCTGCCTATCCATCCATGAATTTATATATGAATCTATCTATACATCTGTCCACCTAACCATCCACCCACCTCTCCCTCTATTTATCCTATCCATGTAGCTATCCARCCARCCARCCARCCATCCARCCACCCACCCACCCATCCACCCACCCACCCARCCACCCACCCACCCACCTCTCCATCCATCTTTCCTTCTATTCATCTTTCCATCCATCCATTTGTCTYTCTGTCTTTGTATTTATATATCTATCTATATATCTGTCCACCTATCCATTCTTCCATCCATCCACCCATCTATCCAGCCATGTATTTATACATCTATCCATTCTTTCCATCTATCTATTTATCCACCCACCTATCCATCCATCTTTCCACCCATCCATCTGCCTATCTGTCCTTGTATTTATATATGCATCTATCTATATATCTGTCCACCTATCCGTCCATTCTCCCATTCATCCACCCACCTATCCATCCATTCCTGTATTTATATATGCATCTATCTATTCATCTGCCTACTTCATCTATCCACCCACCCACGTACCCATCTATGTATATATGTGTGTGTTGTGTTTGTATACACACACACCTATGTATCCATCCATCTATCCACTGATCCAAACCCTTATCCATCCACCCACCTATCCATGCATGTGTGTATATATGCGTCTGTCTGTCCGTCCATCCATCCATCCATTCATTTGTGCACCTATCCAATTCCCTATCTATCCATCCATGTATGTATATATGCAACTATCTGTCCATTTTTCATCCATCAATCCAACCTATTCATCCATCTGCCTACCTACATATCCGCCCATCCACTTATTCATATGACCAACCAGGCATCCATCCATCTGTCCACCCACCATCCATTTATTTATTCCTTCCTTTTATCTACCTAGCCTTCCACCCATCCACCCAAATTTTTATCACACTTGTTTTCCAAAGCGTGATATATTTTGTGCCTTTTGGTTGACCAGATCAAGGTACCCCCCACCATGGCTCTTCCCATAAAAAGATGTTCAAACTCAAGAATAACGAGGAACAGCCGACGTACAAATGGAGTGACTGAGCGCATGAGGAGGATGGCACTGAAATGAAGGCATCATTGCTTTCTTTCGCACTCTCTCCTTGGAGCTTTCCTTTGGGCTTTGATCTCATCCATGAATGATGAGGAGAGGCTTCTTCTCGCCCCATTCTGCCATCCGTAGAAACACCGGCAGCGATTTCAGGGGAATGTTTGCCAAAAAGGAGACACGTGGAGGAGAGGTGGCAGCACTGGGTTAGTCAGCCATTGGGTCAGTTTTGGAGAGGTCTACTCCCATTTCATCGCCTTCCAAATTCCAAATCCAGGATGCAAGAAGGGCTGGCGCCTCACCAAACTACAACTCCCATTGGGTTGTTTTGAGTTTTTCATGCTGTATGGCTTTGTTCCAGCAGCATTCTCTCCTGACATTTTGCCTACATCTGTGGCTAGTGTCTTCAGAGGTTCTGTTAATAGTGAGGCAAGTGGAGTGTATATATACCTGTGGAATAATGTCCAGGATGGGAGAAAACCCTTGTCTGGTTGAAGCAAGTGTGAAAGTTGCAATTAGTAAGCTTGAATAGAATGAGTAACCATGCAAAGTCAATAATGTAGGTGTCTGCATAGCGGTAGCCAGGTCTTTGTTGCCTTGAGGTATTCTCAGTTAACTGGCAATTTGATTGTTCGCTGTCTACAATTCCCCTGTTTTTGAGTATTTACCCAACTTTACCAGATTTTGTTCATTTTCGTAATTTAATAATGATAACCATAAAAATGAACAAAATATGGTTACCAGTATTTAGAAAAACACCAGAATCAAGACACTACATAAGGAACACCACTCAGAAACAGAGGAACTCCATACAGCAAGAAATCAAGGACCAGTTAACACCTCCTAAACATAGGATGCCTCCAGGCAGCAATAGCCAATATAGAAACCCTCACTGATTGACTTTGCAAACTTCATGGCTACTCAAATGCTATTCAAGCTTGCTAATTGCAACATTCATACTTGCTTTAAACAGACAAGGGCTCTTTCTTCCACCCTGGACATTACTCAGGTTATACACTCCACTTGCTTCACTGCCAACAGAACCTCTGAAGATGACAGCCACAGGTGCAGGCAAAACGCCGGGAGAGAATGCTGCTGGAACATGGCCATACTGGCCAAAAAACTCACAGCAACCCAGTGATTACGGACATGAAAGCCTTTGACAACACATACAACTCCCATTCTTCCTATGGGTAGAACGAATATGCTTTGAGCCCACTTTAATGGCCATGGCTCAATGCTATAAGGAATAATGGGAGTGGTAGTTTTGCAAAGCCTTGAGCCTCCTCTGCCAAACTGCAAATCCCAGGATTCCATCACAGTGAGCCAGGACTGTTAAAGCGGTATCAATCTGCATCCGTTCTACAGCACGGATGCACCTTTTGCATGACAGTCACGGGAAGGAAGTACAGTCAGAAGCGGAACAAGGTGCCATATTTCTATAGAGGTCAGTTAAAAATAAAACACTCCGTTCCGGTTTTGGTGAAACAAAATGCAAACCGTTTGCACCACCACTTTGGGGGTTTCGTCACTTTTTCAACCGTCTAGGCAGGAGCTTCCTTTTTTACAAAAGCAATGGTGCAAAGCACAAAAAAAGGAAACAAAAACGGGTTCGAAAGGCCATTTCTTATTCTAAAACTCGCAGATAAGGTGGTTCAAACTGGACCAGTCCTACTGTGTAGATCAGGCCTGGGCAAACTTCGGCCCTCCAGGTGTTTTGGACTTCAACTCCCACAATTCCTAACAGCCTCAGGCCCCCTCCTTTCCCCCCTCAGCTGCTTAAGTGGCTGAGGGGGAAAAGGAAAGGGCCTGAGGCTGTTGGGAATTGTGGGAGTTGAAGTCCAAAACACCTGGAGGGCCGGGTTGCCCAGGCCTGGTGTAGATAGAGGCACCCAAAGCAAAAAAATAAATAAATAAAAGGCACTCTGTGCATGCTCTGGTGACACACACAGCTTGGTGGGATGCAACCACCCAGTTGCTGCTGGAAAGGCTAATAATAATAATCATTCATCTATTTATTATTATTGAATATTAACTATCCAGCCTTTCTCTGTTGTCGGAATTCAAGGAGTTCCACCAACACAAGAAAATGCTGCAGAGAAAAAAGGAAAGTGAAATTAAGCCAAAAGTAAGGAGAGGCCAAACAAGGCTGAGAAGCCAAATAAAAGTGCATCTACACTGTGGAATTAATGCAGTGTGACCAGGGGTGGCTCAACCCATTACGCAAAGTAAGCATTTGCAGTATAGTTGATTTTGCCCAGGGGCGCTCTTGGGGGGAAATAGACCTTGACATATGCAAGTTGTAATTACTGGGATGTATAGTTCACCTACAATCAAAGAGCATTCTGAACTCCACCAATGATGGAATTGAATCAAATATGGCACACAGAACTCCCACGATGAACAGAAAATATATATCAGTGATTGGTTTGGGGCGGGGGGGTGATGCCAAAATACTGTTTGCTTACCGTTGAAAATTACCTAGGGCCGCCTGTGAGTGTGACACCCCTTTGAATGCAATGACTCACTGCTATGGAATGCTGGGAGTTGTAGTTTCACAACTCCCAGGGATCTAGGAGTGTTTGTGCTTCCCTGAAGTGACAACTTCCAGGGTTTGATACTACTGAGCCATGGTGGTTGAAGTGGAATCAAACCATTAATTCTACTGTGTAGATGCACCCAGCCATCGCAAATACACACACACATGTGCACACACACACATTGTTTCAACAATACCAACCAACACAATGCCAAGACTGCAAGATGTCACATGGAATCCATCCCAGGCCTTGGCGATGCTGCAAGCAAGACATAGGAAAGCTTGCAATGCATGGGCATTTGCACACGCAAATGCACATGCACTGGGCCTTCCTATTTTTGCACTGAGTGTATCTATTTATACCAGGCCTGGGCAAACTTTGGCCCTCCAGGTGTTTTGGACTTCAACTCCCAAAATCTCTAACAGCCTCAGCCCCCTTCCTTCTCCTCAGCTCCTTAAGCGGCTGAGGTGGAAAAGGAATTATGGGAGTTGCAAGTCCAAAACACCCGGCCTTCCAGACAATGCCAACCATCCCCATGCCAAGGTGGCATCCGGTCTCCATTTTGGGCCATAAAAAAGCAAGCAAAGTGAAGAAGGCTTGCAAGGCACAGGTGAAAGCTCACCTGGCTATTAACACAAACACACAAATCCATAGATACTAGGCCTTTGTTTTGACAATGCTAACCATCACAACGCCAAAGGCCCAAGGCACTATCCTGTCCCCCATTTCAGGCCATAAACAAACAAGACAGAGGAAGGCCTCCAATGCAAAGACGGGAGCTCACCTGGCCATTAACACAAACACATAAAAACACATCAGGCCTTAAAGACAATGCCAACCATCTCTATGCCAAGGTGCCACCCGGTCTCAATTCTGAGCCATAAAAAAGGAAGCAAAGACAGAGGAAGGCCTGCAATGCACATGTGAGAGCTTGCCTGGCTATTAGCGCGCGCGCACACACACACACACACACACAAATGAATATGCACTGGGCCTTCCAGACAAGTTGATTTGATGACATCAACTGATCACAATGCCAAGGGTCCAAGGTGCCAACCCATTTGTATTTCAGGCCAAAGAGATGCAAATAAGACAGGGGAAGACCTGCAACACAAAGGTGAGAACTCACCTGGCCATTATACACAAACACATACACAAATACACAGACATACCAGGCCTTCCAGACAATGCCAGCCATCTCTTCCAGACAATGCCAACTATCTGATCTCCATTTCGGGTTATAAAAAAGCAAGCAAAGACAGGTGCCATTCACAGGTGAGAGCTCACCTGGCCATTGCACATAAACACATAGAAATACACGAGGACTTCCAGACAATGCCAACCATCTCTATGCCATGGTGCCACCCGGTCCGCATTTCGGGTCATAACAAAGCAAAGACAGAGGAAGGCCTGCAACGCACAGGTGAGAGCTCACCTGGCCATTAATACCAACATGCCAAGGTGCCATCTGTTCTCCATTTTGGGCCACAAAATGGCAAGGCGTCCAATGCAAAGGTGAGAGCTCACTTGGCCATTGCACATAACCACCTACAAATACACAAACATGCCAGGCCTTTCAGACAATGCCAATCATCTCTATGCCAACGTGCAATCCAGTCTCCATTTCAGGCCATTAAAGCAAGCCGAGGCAGAGGGAGGCCTGCAACACAACAGCATGACCTCACCTGGTCGTGACACACAAACAAGCAAACACACAAAAACATATAAACACATGGGCAAGCCCCCCCCCCCCTTCCTTTCTTTCTTCCATCCTTTCCAAATCAATATTGCCTGGTGCTGAAGGTTTTTGCAAGCAGGGTCTCCATGTACAAAACTGAATAAACAACATATTTTTCTGCCAATTACAAAAAACAAATAAATATATCAAATTTCCCGTCATTTAAAAAATAATAAATACATACACTTTGTGGCAATTAAAATGAATGAATATACAATTTTCCTGCCATTTTATGAAATCATAAATACATCATTTTCCTTGCTGTGTAAAAAATGAATAAGCAAATAATGTTTTTTTCTTGTCACAAACACATATATCTCTGCCATGAATAAGGGTGCAAATGGAAACAGGAATCCCCTGCCCATAAGGTCTTAATGGTATCCCAAGTACGGCCAAAAACTGGACCCAATGGGGATTTTGGGAGGCCATCTCTCATTCTTTGTTTTTGTTGTTTCAGACAGGTGTGGCAATGCCTTTTAAATAATAATAATGACAACAACAATCATAATAATGTGTAGAATTGGATAGGCTTTTTGGGAAGGATCCCAGAATTAAAGTGGGACAATTGGAGGAGAAACCATTTCCTATTTCTGTTTATTTCCTTGAACCATACAATCACTATTTTTTTTAAAAAATAAATATTATAATAATACTGGTTTGCAATGGAGTTGGTTGGGCATTTGGGGGACACCATTGCTAGAATCCCATTAGAAGTCTTTCCTATTCCTGCTTATTTTATTGAACTACTATTTAAAAGGCATTCAGTAGATGATGATGATGATAGTGGTGGTGTTGAATGGACATTTGGAAAGCACCGTTGCTGGAATCACAGAAAGAATAATAACAAATAATAATAATAATAACAATAATAATAATGTTTTCAATGGGGTTGAATGGACATTTGGAAGGCAGCCTTGCTAGAATCATGGAAGGAAGGAAGGAAGGAAGGAAGGAAGGAAGGAAGGAAGGAAGGAAGGGAGGGAGGGAGGGAGGGAGGGAAGGCAGGCAGGCAGGCAGGCAGGCAGGCAGGCAGGCAGGCAGGCAGGAAGGAGAAAAAGAAGAGAAGGAAGAGAAGGAGGGGAGGAGGAAGATAATAATAATAATAATAATCATAATAATAATAAAGATGATGATGATGACGACGACAAGAATAATGACAATAAGGCTTGTAATGGGTTTAGGTGGGCATTTTGGGAAGGCATCCTGACTAAAATTATTATTATCCTGACATAATAATAATAATAATAAGGCTTGCAATGGAGTTGGATGAGCATTTTGGGGGACCTTTGCTACAATCAAATTAGAAAGATAAAGAAACCATTCTTATTTCTTTTTATCTTCCTGGAGCAATTACTATTTTTTAAAAAAGCAATATAATAATAATATGGTTTTCATTAGGGTTGAAAAGACATTTTGTGGGCCCCGTTGCTAGACTCAAAATAGAAGGAAAAAAGAAACCTTTCATCTCCCTCTCCTTGAACAAATACAATCACTACATTGAAAAATGCAATATAATAATAATAATAATAATAATAATAATAATAATAATAAGGCTTGCAATGGAGTTGGATGAGCATTTTGGGGGACCTTTGCTACAATCAAATTAGAAGGATAAAGAAACCTTTCCTTTCCCTCTCCTTGGACAAATATAATCACTATATTAAAATGTGATATATTATAATAATAATAATAATAATAATAATAATAATAATAATAATAATAATATAAGGCTTGCAATGGGGTTGAGTGAGCATTTTGGGGAGGAGGGGGACACTTGCTAAAAATCAAATAGAAAGATAAAGAAACCTTTCCAATTCCTCTCCCTGGATCACACAATCACTATATTAAAAATGCAATATATGCGAATAATGATAATAATATACAATATAATGATGGTGGTGATGTTTGCAATGGGGTTGGATGGGCCTTTTGTGGGGCACTTTTGCAATGACTATATGAAAAAATGCAAAATATGAGGGGACAATAATAATATACAAATGATGGGGATGATGTTTGCAATGGGGTTGGATAGGCATTTGGAGGGGAACCTTTGCAATCACTGTATGAAGAATGCAACATAATAATGATATGCAATATGATGGTAATGTTTGGAATGGGGCATCTTTGCAATCACTATATGAAAAATGCAATATATGAGAATAATAATAATATTAATAATAATGTGATGATGATGATGATGTTTCCAATAGGATTGGATGGGCACCTCTCCTAGGCTCCCAACTAGGATAAATAACCCTTTCCTTAGATCAATGCAAGCACTATATTAATACAATGCAATAACCGATGCCTTGCTTGCATGGCCCCTGAGGATGGTTGGCACTGGCAGCCCTCTTTTTTGCATTGCAACCTGTCCCATTTTTGCATGCAGGTGACCTTTGCAATGCATTATAAAGATAGGGTGATATGATACTCACCCCAGAGATGATCCTAAGGATGGTTTGGGGCCTCTGGATGAACTCTATGGGGTCCACAGCAGCCCCTGCCCGCCCGGCCCCAAAGGATGCTCCTTCCATGGTGGATGATGGGCCTCTCCAATCCCTCCCTCTTATTGTATCCTTTGCAATGATTTCCAAGGGAAGGGCGAGTCCTGTTTGCAGCGCCTCGCCTTTGCAGCAGCAAAGCAGGAGGAAGAAGAGGAGGAGGAGGAGGAAGGCGACAGAGAAGGGGGAAGGATGGGCCACAGAGCCAGCCCACTCGCCCACACCTCCCCACTTTTTTCCCTCCCCTCTGGAGGCTGCAAAGGCGCGTCTCTCGCCCTCCAAGCCCTCTTTCTCCTTTCTCCCCCCTCTAAGGAAAAATGGACTCGACCGGCGCCACAGCCCTGAAGCAGAGGACGGATTGTACCATTGCAGAAATAGGGGGGGGGGACGCGGAGGAGAGGCTGCAGCCTGGGAACAGGGAGGAATCTCATGGATTCCAAGTAATTGCAATAATAATTAGATTGTAATAATTATAATAATCGATATAAATTATATTTATAAATATAAAATATAAATTTATATATATATATATATATATCAAGGCAGAAAATCCCATAATATTTATTTATTTATTTATTTAGCAATTTTGTATACCGGTCTTCTCCCCTCTATCGGGGGACTCGGGCCGGTTTCCAACAATAAAATCACAAAACAATCATTAAAAACATCATATAACATATTCAATTAAAACGTTATAACAGCAAAATGCAATCACATAATAACAATGGTCAGTCGTCATAGTGAATTCGTTGTCCATCATTCATCGTCATCTATCCGATCACAGAAATATTGATTCACTCGTCGAAAGCCAAACCCCATAGCCAGGTTTTCACCCGTTTTCTGAACGACAGAATGGAGGGGGCAGTTCTGATCTCCAGTGGGAGAGAGTTCCAGAGTCGAGGGGCCACCACCGAGAAGGCCCTGTCCCTCGTCCCCACCAGACGCGCTTGAGAGGCCGGTGGGACCGAGAGCAGGGCCCTCTCCAGACGATCTTAACAATCTTGATGGTTCATAGGGGAGAATACGTTCGGACAGGTAAACAGGGCCGGAGTCGTTTAGGGCTTTATAGGTTAACACCAGCACTTTGAATTGTGCTCGGAAGCTAATTGGCAGCCAGTGGAGCTGGCGCAACAGAGGAGTAGTATGCTCCTTGTACGCTGCTCGTGTTAGCATTCTGGCTGCCGCACGTTGGACTAGTTGGAGCTTCCGGGCGGTCTTCATAGGCAACCCCACGTTGCAGTAATCTAAACGGGATGTAACCAGAGCGTTGCAGTAATCTAAACGGGATGTAACCAAACCCCACGTAGAGAGCGTTGCAGTAATCTAAACGGGATGTAACCAAAGCGTGGACCACCGTGGCCAAGTCAGACTTCCCAAGGTACGGGCGCAGCTGGCGCACAAGTTTTAATTGTGCAAAAGCTCCCCTGACCACCGCCGAAACCTGGGGCTCCAGGCTCAGCGATGAGTCCAGGATCACTCCCAAGCTGCGAACCTGCGCCTTCAGGGGGAGTGTAACCCCATCAAGCACAGGCTGTAACCCTATGCCCTGTTCAGCCTTTCGACTGACCAGGAGTACCTCTGTCTTGTCTGGATTTAGTTTCAATCTGTTGTTCCTCATCCAGTCCGTTACAGCGACCAAGCACCGGTTCAGGACCTGGACAGCGTTCTTAGTAGCAGGTGGAAAGGAGTGACAGAGTTGGACATCATCTGCGTACAGATGACACCACCCCGAAACTCCGGATGATCTCTCCCAACGGCTTCATGTAAATGTTAAACAACATAGGGGACAGTATTGAGCCCTGCGGGACTCCACAGTGCAATGGCCGAGGGTCGAGCAGGAGTCCCCTAGCAACACCTTCTGGGAGCGACCCTCGAGGAAGGACTGGAGCCACTGCAAAGCAGTACCCCCAAGGCCCATTCCCGCGAGACATCCCAGGAGGATACTGTGATCGACGGTATCGAAGGCCGATGAGAGGTCCAGCAGAACCAACAGGGACACACTCCCCCTGTCCAGTATATATATTTTTTTATATATATATATAATAAATAAGCAAGCTTTTAGGAGCTGCCCTAGGTCTATGCAAAGGTCTCAATCTGGAGGGGGGAAACCCTCAAATGGCAAGCATTTGGGGCTGAGAAAGTGTCACAATGAGCCGGGGGGGAGGCAAGCAAAAGTTGTGACAACCTGAAATAATAATAATAATAATAATAATAATAATAATAATAATAATAATAATAATAAGTCACACAGTCCTAGATGCTTGGGAAGTGTTCGACTTGTGATTTTGTGATACGAAATCCAGCATATAGGTCTCATTTGCTGTGACATACTGTGTTTTTGTGTCAGTAAAATAATAATAATAATAATAATAATAATAATAATAATAATAATAATGAAAGACTCATCTATATTGATGAGTCATAAGGAGGAGGAAAGAGGGAGCAAGCTTGTTTTATGCTGCCCTGGAGAACAATGGGTTCAAACTACAGGAAAGGAGATTCCACCTGAACATTAGGAAGAACTTCCTAACTGTGAGAGCTGTTCAGCAGTGGAACTTTCTGCCCCAGAATGTGGTAGAGACTTCTTTGGAGGCTTTTAAGCAAAGGCTGGATGGCCATCTGTCAGGGGTGTTTGAATGCAATTTTCCTGCTTCTTGGCGGGCGGTTGGACTGGATTGCCCATGAGGTCTCTTCCAACTCTAGGATTCTATGATGGAATAATCAGTCTTATTATTATTATTACTACAGAATGAGTCTTCCCTAATAACAACAACAAGCCAATTTGATTATTCCATTGTCATCATTGTCATTATCAATTACAAATAAGAATAAGAATAAGAAGGGAATACTTTGCCTGTATTGATGGAATAATCAAACTGTCTTCTTCGTATTATTATTATTACAGATTGCGTCTTCCATAACAACAACAACAACAACAAGATAGTTTGATTATTCCATCATTATCATTATCAATTACAAATAATAATAACAGGAAGATAGTTTGATTATTCCACCATTATTATCCATTACAAATAATAATAATAATAATAATAATAATAATAATAATAATAAGGGAATACTTCACCTGAAATATTGAGGGAATAATCAAACTGTCTCCTTCTTCTTCTTCTTATTGCAGATTGTGTCTTACTGTTAGTTACAGATTTAGTAAAGGTAAAGGTATTCCCCTGACATTAAGTCCAGTCGTGTCCGACTCTGGGGTGTGGTGCTCATCTCTATTTCTAAGCCGAAGAGCCAGCGTTGTCTGTAGACATCTCCAAGGTAATGTGGCCAGCATGACTGCATGGATTGCCGTTACCTTCCCACTGGAGCAATCCCTATTGATCTACTCACATTTGGATGTTTTCAAACTGCTAGGTTGGCAAAAGCTGGGGATGACAGCAGAAGCTTACGCTGCTCTCTGGATTCGAACCTGCGACCTTTCAGTCAACAAGCTTAGCAGCTCAGTGGTTTAACCCACTGCGCCACTGGGGGCTTCATTTACAGATTTAGTCTTCTCTAATAATAATATTGGAGCCCCCAGTGGCACAGTAGTTTAAACCGTTGAGCAGCTGAACTTGCTGACTGAAAGGTCAACGGTTTGACCCCTGATCTGACCAGCTGCAGGGAATGCCGCAGTTCCTGGATGCCCAGTTGGGCCAACACTGATTCAATGACCAGGGACTCTTTGCAGCCTTGAGCTCTTTCCTTTCACTTCTTTCCTCAGCCTAAACAATGTAACATAACCCTAAATAAAGACTAATTGAATTGTAACCTTCACCTCTTCAGAGTGATACATTGTGTCTATTTCCTGGCTCACAAGTATCTAATGCATGAATTTATCCTTTTCCGGACCGCGGGCAGCCACCAGCCTGCCTGGGATGCCTTCCAGGCGTCCCAGGGAGGCCGAAACTTTATTTCTTTAAACTGTGGATACTGAAACCCCTTGGGTCCCCGTATCCACGAGTTGACAAAATGACTCCATTTTGGTGCCATATTTTTCCTAGTTCAATTCTAACACTATCTGCTGTCTCGATTTTTGCATTTCAGGCTTCTGTGCTCAAGGAATAACCTTTTTATTTTTGAGAATATATTTTAAAAGGAAAACAGCTGATTGTCAAACTGAGCCTTTTGCTGCTGTGCTGCTCCTGTTGTCGCTGCTTCCTCGTCCTTCTGGAATCCCAGGACCCGGGGACTTGATGTGGTCATCCCATGAGGCCCTCAGGGAGTGGATCTGCCACCTCGTTCCAGACCTTGGAGGGAGTTGTAGTTCTCCAAGGACCAAAGGGCAAGCTTCAGCCTCAGTAATGCAGAGTTTCATATCTTGGCTCAGTAGAATCACCCAGCCTCTCTTTATGATTTTTGAACCTTTTTGCCACACATCAAGGACTTTTTTCCCCCTTCATGGACATACTTTCACCTATGGACCTTCCTAAAATGAACTATGGACTTATATTTAGCCATGATCAAGGCTCCTATCAATTTCTCTATGGGACACTGGGGGGAGGGATAAGTGGGTATATTTTCTGTATCATGATTTCTATATTTTCATATTTTCTTCCTGTGTATCTGACCTTTTCCTGACTCTTTTTGCCCCATTCCCCTTTTGGAAAAAATTTATAAAAAATATAAGGAAGCCACCCTGACCCTGGAAAGGAAGAAATTAACACTTGAAAGAAACCTTATCAAAAGACACTCTTTGCATGGACTATCACAAAGGATTGTGACCTCTGGCCTCAGAGGTTTTGACCACCAGAGGAAATGGCCACTTGGCAACTTTGATTATATCTCCAATAGGACAAAGGAGGGCCTTCGGAAAGCCGTGCCTCATCCTGATCTGTCACCCATTCAATCCTTCTCACTAAGGCATCCACCTAAGTTTCCCCCATTGTCCCTGTGTCTCAGCTTGAAAGAAAATCTGGATTATGGTGGTATCGCCAGATATCAATGTTTATTGCAGCCATTCAGAACAATAGTCTGGCTAGCTCGTAGGCCTTTAGGACTCGCCAGCCCCTTGGACATTTCTTGAATTTCCATAATCCACTCAAAAATGTATTGTATTCCCTTGTCCCGCCTCCCTCCCTCCTGATTCGTCAAAGCACTGAGGCGGCAGAAGCCCTCTGATTAGCCCAGGCATGCAGCAGAGACCTTGTGATTGGCCCAGGCGCTCGAGAGGCGGCTGAGCCTCTTCCCAGCTGTTGAAACACCAGCCAATTACCTTCAAGCCAGGCGGAGGATGGGGAGCGGGAGATTCAAACCAGACAACTCTGTTTTTCTATAAAAATGGCTTTTATTTGTACTCATGCATGCTTAG